GTTTTAACTTAAAGTCTGTTTTGTCTGATATTAATATAGCCACCCTGCTCCTTTTTGGCTACTATTTGCATATAATATTTTTTTCCATCTTTTCACGTTCAAACTGCCAGTGTCTTTTGGTCTAAAGTGGGTATCTTGTAGATAACATATAGTTGGAGCATGTTTTCTTATCCATTCTGCCAGTCTCTTCCTTTTGATAGAGGAGTTTATTCCATTTACATTTAAAACAATTATTGATTAGAAAGTACTTTTGCTATTTGTTTTCTGTGTGTCTTAATCTTTTTTTTTTTTCCTCATATTTCCTCTAATATTTGCCAGTTTTAAGTTGATTTTTTTGTAGTGGACCATTTTTATTCTCATTTCCTTTTGTGTGTATTTTTTTAGTATTTTCTTTCTGGTTACTGTGGGGATTACATTTAACGTCCTAATTTATAAAAACCTGGTTTAAATGCTAACATAACTTCATTAAACCAAAAAAACCAAATCCATTGTCTTTGAGTTGATTCTGACTCATCTTGACCCCATGTGTTACAGAGAAGAACTGCTCCATAGGGTTTCTTGGCTCTGATCTTTATGGAAGCAGAGAGTCCCTGATGGAGCAGGAGAAAGGTGGGGTGCAGAACTCCAATTCTAGTGAAAATACCAGACTTAATGGTCTGACTGAGACTAGAAGAACCCTGGAAGCAGATTACCAGGCCTTTCTTCTGTGGTGCTGCTAGGTGGGTTTGAGTCACCAACCTTTAGGTTAGTAGTTAAGCGTAAACCGTTTATGTCACTCAGGGACCTCCTCCTTTTTTTTTGTTTATTGTAGTTTAAGTGAAAGTTTACATTTCAAGTTAGTCTCGTATACAAAAATTTATACATACATTGTTATGTAAACCTAATTGCTCTCCCTATACTGTGACAGCACACTCCTCCTTTCCACCCCTGATTTCCCATGTCCATTCAACCAGCTCCTAACCCTCTCTGCCTTTCTGTCTCACCTCTGGACAGAAGCTGCCCATCTAGTCTCATGTATCTACTTGAGCTAAGAAGTGCACTCTTCCCAAGTATCATTTTATGTCCCACAGTCCAGTCTAATCTTCGTCTGAAGAGTTGGCCTCGGGAATTGTTTTAGTTCTGGGCTGATAGAGAATCCGGGGGCCATACTTTCCGGGGTTCCTCTAGTTTCAGACCATTAAGTCTGGTCTTTTCACTAGAATTTGAGTTCTGCACCCCACCTTTCTCCTGCTCCATCAGGGACTCTCTGTTGTGTTCCCTGTCAGAGTGGTCATTGGTGGTAGCCGGGCACCATCTAGTTCTTCTGGTCTCAGGCTGATGAAGTCTCTGGTTTATGTGCCCCTTTCTGTCTCTTGAGCTAATACTTTCCTGTGTCTTTGGTATTCTTCATTCTCCATTATTCCAGGTGGTTGGGACCAGTTGGGGACCAACTGATGCATCTTAGGTGGCCGCTTGCAAGCTTTTAAGACTCCAGACACCACTCACCAAAGTAGGATGCAGAACATTTTCTTAATAAGCTTTGTTATGCCAGTTGACCTAGATGTCCCCTGAAAGCATGGTCCCCAGACACCCACCCCGCTACTCTGCCTCTCGAAGTGTTTGATTGTATTCAGGAAACTTATTAGCTTTGTTTTAGTCCGGTTGTGCTGACTTCTCTGGTGCTGTGTGCTGTCCTTCCCTTCACCTAATGGACCTCTTTCTAATGTCAGTAACATACCAAAATTCTGTTCATATACTGCTCTTTCCCCACTTACATTGTCACAAATTACATCTTTATACATTGTGTACTCGATGATGTAGATTTATAATTTATTTTTATGCATTTGTCTTTTAAATCTGTAAGGCATAACAAGTAGAGTTACAACGTTAAAATACCATAAAACTGACCTTTATATTTACCCATGAAGTTAACTTTACTACAGGTCTTTTTCTCATCATATGTCTTTGAGTTACTGTCCTGACTTTTCAACTTGAAGTACATCATTTAGCATTTCTTGTAGGGCAGGTCTCGTGGTAATAAACTCCCTCAGCTTTCGTTTATCTGGGAACGTCTTCAATTTCATCCTAGATTTTGAAAGACAGTTTTCTCAGGTATAGGATTCTTGGATGACAGTTTTTTTCTTCAACTCTTTGAATATGTCATTCCATTGCCTTCTGGCCTCCATTGTTTCTGAGGAGAAGTCACATTTAATCTTATTGAAGCCCCCTTGTATGTGATGGTTTGCTTTTTTCTTGCTGCTTTCAAGATTCTCTGTCTTTGGATTTTGAAATATGATTATAATGTGTCTTGGCATGGATCTCCTTGGGTTTATCCACTTGGAGTTTGTTGAGCTTCTTGTACGTGCAAATGCATGTCTTATTCAGATTTGGAAGATTTCAGCCGTTTTTTCTTCAAATATTGTTTCTTCCCCTTTCTCTTTCTCCTCTCCTTCTGAGACTCCCATAATGCATATATTGATCCTTTTAATTGTATTCTATGGTTCTCCTATGCTCTGTTCATTTTTCTTCATTCTGTTTTCTTTCTGTTCTTCAGACTGTATCATTTCAATTGTCCTACAAGTTTGCTGAGTCTTTCTTCTGCCTGCTCAAATATGCTGAATTGATGAATTTTTAATTTCAGTTATTATGCTATTCAGCTCCAGAATTTGTTCGGTTTTATAATTTCTGTTTCTGTTAATATGTTCATTTTGTACACACATTGTTTTCTTGATTTCTTTAGTTCTTTGTGTTTTCCTTTAGTTTTTTGAGCATATTTAATACTGTTGTTTTAAATTGACTCCAACTCATGGCAGCTGCATGTGTGTCAGCAGAATTGTGCTCAATAGGGTTTTCAGTGGATGATTTTTTGGAAGTGGATTTGTTGGGCCTTTCTTTTGAGGCATCCCTGGATGGGCTAGAACCTCCAACTTTTCAGTTAGCAGCTGAACACTAACCATTTGCACAACCAGGAACTCTCACGTCTTCGACTAAAGTCCATTATCTGTCCTGCTTCAGGAGTAGTTCCTGTCACTTAACTTTGTTCTTTGCATAGGCTGTCCTTTCCTCTGTTGTTGTATGCATTGTGATTTTTTTTATTGAAACTAATGTTTGATTTTTATAATGTGGTAACTCTGGAAATCAAATTTCTCCCCTTCCCTAGGATTTGCTGTCTTTTTTTTTTTTTTTTTAACTATTGAAGGCTGTGTTTGTTTGCTTTATCACCAGGCTCCCTCTCTGATTATGCCTGCTGTTGCCACTTTAAGACCAGGCGTCCTGTCTGGAGGTGCCAACTGTCACTGCCTCAACACCAGGCTCGCTTTCTGAGAGTGCTGACTGTCACTGTTTTAACGCAGGAATTTCTTGTCTGATTGTGCTCACTGCTGCTGCTTTAAACCACGCCTCCTGCCTGAGAGTTCCTGCTCTTGCTGCTTTAACACCAAGCTCATTATTTAGGAGTGCCAGCCACCGCAAATACCCCAAGATGGCCATGCCAAGCCAGAGAGGGGGTGGGATGCGGATGGGTGGTTGATTAGGAACTGGTGCAGTGGTTAAGTGCTTGGCTGCTAACTGAAAGGTCAGTGGTTCAAACCCACCAGCTGCTTTGTGGGAGAAAGTCGTGGCAGTCTGCTTCCATTAAAAGATGTACAGCCTTGGAAATCTAATGGGACAGTTCTACTCTGTCCTGTAGGTCCCTGAGTCCGAATCAACTCAATGGTAATGAGTTTGGTTTTTCTCTTGATTCACTCTTTGCTTAGACGGTGTAACCCTTTGACTGGTTTCCAGAGTTCTGAGACTGTTGATCCCACCAATTTCTCTTTTTTCATCTGGTTTTGTTGTGGGGAAGCAAGAGCATACAGTTGTTTATGCTGCCATCTTGCTTTGCCCTTTTTTTTAAATTAAACTTTGTTTTGAGATTACTGTAGATTCACAAGTAATTATAAGAACTAATATAGAGAAAGCCTGTGTACCCTGTACCCAGTTCGCCCCAGTGGTAACATCTTATAAAACTATAGTATAAGATCACAATTTGGATATTGACATTGATACAATCTGCTGATCTTATCAGATTTCCTAATTTTATTTGTACTGTGTGTGTTTGTGTGTAAGTTCTGTGCTATTTTATCACGTGTGAATTTGTATATCTACCAGCAGTTAAGATACAGAACAATTCCATCACCACAAGGATCCCTCATGTTGTTCTTTTAAAAACACACTCACTTCTACACTTTCCCCTCATTCCTTACCCATCAAACACTAATCTGTTCTCCATTTATACAATTTTGTCATTTCAAGATACTATATAAAAGGAAGCACACAGTGTGTGTGACTTTATGATTGGCTTTCTTTCTCACTCAGCGTTACTCTGTGGCAGTCTGTCCAAGTTTTTGTGTGTAACAGTGCTTGTTCTTTTTTGCTTCTGAGTAGTATTCCATGGTATGGAATGTACCACCATTGAAGGATATCTGGGTTGTTTCCATCGTTGGGCTTTTATGAATAAAGCTGTACTGAACATTCATGTACAGGTTTTTGTGTAAATATAAACTTTCATTCCTGTGGCATAAATATCCAAGAATTCACTTGGTGAGTCAAATGGTAATTGCATATTTATTTTTATAGGAAACTGACGAGTAGCTGTGTCATTTTTACATATTTACCAGCGCTGTATGAGTAATCTAGTTTCTCCACATCCTCACCAGCATTTGGTGTTGTCCCTACCATTTTAGCCATTCTAATAGGTGTGTGGTGAGAAACACTGGAAAATTAGCTCTTGGCTAAGTGGGACTTTGAAGTAAAGTATGGAAATGTGGATTGTGTCCGTTTAACCTGGACAAATTACGACATATTGACCATTTAAAAGAGAAAAAATCATATGTAAGCATAGGATTATTTTGCTATGTGTAGTAGTGGAAAGTCAAAAAATGAGGTTTGGAAGGAGGAATACACAGTGTGGTGCTATGATGGTGATGAAGTGCCCCACTCAGGTCTCACTCAGACTCATCATTTGGATGTTCTTTTCCCAGAGGAGCTATATGGTGACTTTGAAGACCTTGAAACAGGGGACGTGCATATGGAAAATTCAGGTCCAGATATTCAGGTATGACTTTGCCAAACGAAACCCATTGCTGTCAAGTCAATTCTGACTCATAGCGACCCTACAGGACAGAGTAGAACTTCCCCATAGGGCTTCCAAAGAGCGGCTGGTGAGTTCGAACTGCCGATGTTTTGGTTAGCAGCCGAGCTCTTAACCACTGAGCCACCAGGACTCCACTATGACTTTGCCAGGGTGTGGCCATTAACACCTGGTTCTGAGAGAGACCCATCTTGAGAAAGGCAAATCTCATGTGTCTAGATCACAGACTGGATGGATTTCTTCCTACATGTGGGGCATGGGGATAGATGAAAGATTATTTGTTGTTCTTGATCTTTTGGATAACACCTACTACCTCTTGTCATAGTCATTTACCAAATTTCTGATTATTCTTTATTTTTTGGAAGCTTTAGCCTCTGGATCATTGTTTTCCTTTCCACTATCCCTTTCGTCATCATTCTCCACTTAAATTTCAGTGCCGTTTAAACAAAGTAATTTCCTATTCTCCCTGATATTTCTTTAGAATAGTGGCTGGGAGCACCTCGGTTGGGGAAACTTGTTGTTATTTTTATTCATGCTTGACTATCTCAGCCAAATTAATTTTAATTGTAATTCAGATGTTTAAATGTCTCCTGTAGCAATACCATGTTATTTGGAGACAAAGACTGTGTTTTGTTTTTCATGATGATTATAACTAATATTTTTGCAATTCAAGTGGAACATTTTTTATCTGCTTTAATATTTAAAGAAAAGATATCCACAAACTTTTACAAAATTTTCTCTTCTGGAATGAAGATTGAAGATGTAGAAGAAGTTAAGGAAGAAAACGAGCCCAAACCAGAGGAAAGTGCCAAGAAAAAACGTATGGATAAGAAGAGAAAACTGAAGGAGATGTTTGATGCAGAGTATGATGGAGGAGAAAGCTCATATTTTGATGAACTTAAAGAAGAAATGCATAAACAAGCCCTGGTAAGAAACCAGGTTTCTGTCAGCCTCATTTAAAAGCTGTGATAGTATTTGAATCCCTAACTTTTTGGTTCTCTGCTCCCTGACCCCATTCTGTGCCTCTTATTTGCACTGCTAGGTCAAGTTGCATGTGAGTGTGTTTATTCATGCACTCTTCTGTCACTCAGTCAGAAGTTCACCAGAAAAATACCAGTATCTATTTTGTAAATGTAGATGTAAATCTAGTTCTGAAGTCTTTGCTTCAGGCCATAGAACCTATAGGTCATTGTAAAGGACTTTGGATTTCTCTACTCTGAGTGAAATCGGGGCCATTGGAGGGCTTTGAGCAGAAGAGAAAAATGATCTGACTTACCTTTGAAAGGTTTGCTCTGGTAATGTTCAGTAAGAGATTAAGGTGATTCAAACTGGGAAAGTAGCAATGGAGGTGAGAAAAATCATCAAATTTTGAATATACTTTATTATAAAGGTGGATAAATAGGAATTCCTGGTGGATTGAAAGTGGAGTGTGAGACAGAGGAAATAAGGATGACTGACAGGAAGTTACCGGAAGGATTAGCTTGTCCTGAGTAAGATAGGAAAGCCTTTAGGAGGTGTAGGTTTGTCCAGTAAAATGAAGTTTGGATATGTTACGTTTGAGCTGTCTTTTAGACAAAGAGACTGTTAAATAGGCAGTTGGGAGTTCTGGAGAGCAGGCTGGACCAGAAATTTAAAATGTAGAGTCCCTAGCATATAAATGCTGTTATTTAACGCCATGAGATTAGATGAAATCACCTAAGGGATGAGCACAGATACAGAAGAGGAGAGCCCCGGGACTGAGCACTGGGCGCTCCAGCTTAAGAGGTTGGGCAAAGAGGAGGAACCAGCAGTGGAGATTGAGCAGTGCTCAGCAAGATAGGAGGAATCTAAGGAAACAGGTATGCTGGAAGCCATTGTAGAGAGGAGTGATAAATTGTTTCAAATACTGCTGATATGTTCATTGAGATGATGACAGAATTGACCATTGGATTAGAAATATGAAGGCCTTTGGTGACTTTCACAAGCATATTCATGAAGTAAAGGATGTGTCTATGTTGATTTAAGAGGGAATGGGAGGAGAGGAAGTGGAGACTGGGACTATGGAAAACTTTTCTGGAGTGGTAGTTGGTGGAGGAAGTGGAGTCAAAAGAAGGTTTTAAGATGAGAGAAATAACAGAGGGAAGATTTGTCAGAATAAAGTCCAGCAAGAGTGGATCGTATCTAGTGTGCAAGTGAGGTTGGGCATTAAACAGGGGCGTGGGTAAGTAGTCTATAACAGTGCTGTCCAATAGAACTTGGTGATAATGGAAATCTCTATCTGTGCTATCCAATTTTTCTAGGGTCCCAGCCTCCACTTGTCTCCTCCCATTCCCCCTTGAATCTACATTGACACATCCACCATTCCATGAAAATGCTTGTCAAAGTTACTAAAAGTTTTCACATTTCTAATGTAGACCCTAGCCACATGTGGATATTGACCACTTGAAATGTGGCTAGTGTGACTGAGGAACTCAATTTTTCAATTTTATTTCATTTTAATTAATTTCTATTTAAATAGCCACATGTGGCTATCATATTGGGGGGTGTAGAACTATAGTAAAAGGCTGGCAGTGGGTGCAAATCCTGGTAGAGGAGTTGGTTGTAGAAGTTACATTTGATTGTTCAGTTTTTCAGTGAATTAGGAAACAGTCATCATCTGAGAGTGCAGATGAGGAAAGAGGTGTTGGCATTGGGGGACAGAAGAAAAAGTGTGAAATGATTGTTAAGAGAGTTAGAAAGTATGGGCTGAGAAAATTGAGAGCGTTTGCCGACCAGCACTAAGTACTCTTTGCTATTACCTTGAAGCAACAAAGAAGAAAACAGCTGTGACATATTCTGAACAAACTGTAAAAATAAAATGAATATTATTTTTGATTAGTATAAAACCTGAATAATTGTGTTTGTGCTTCCCTCATTTAGAAATTAATTGATTCGTGTGTGTGTGTGTGTGTGTGTGTGTGTGTGTGTGTGTTAATCTTCCATTTATTAAAGATAACAGCATGGTGGATTTTTCTCCCCCATCTCCTATATAGCTTAACCGCGGAGAATTTGAAGATCAAGATGATGAGACCAGAGTTCAATATGAGGGTTTTCGACCTGGGATGTATGTCCGGATTGAGATAGAAAATGTCCCCTGTGAATTTGTGCTTAACTTTGACCCGCATCACCCGATTATTCTGGGTGGTTTGGGCAACAGTGAGGGCAATGTTGGATATGTACAGGTAGGTACTTTGCTGGATGTTTGGTAGATGAAGTTTTTTTGACTTACCTTCCACCAGTATTGAATGGAATCTCTCCTCTGCTCAGATGCGTCTGAAGAAACATCGTTGGTATAAGAAAATCCTGAAGTCCCGAGACCCAATAATTTTTTCTGTAGGGTGGAGGCGGTTTCAGACCATCCCACTCTATTATATCGAAGACCACAATGGAAGGCAGAGGCTTCTGAAATACACCCCACAGCACATGCATTGTGGAGCAGCGTTTTGGGGTAAAATGTTATTAGAATAACTTGCTTGTTAGGTTAATTTAAATGTTGTAGGCTTTATCATTGTAGTTTTGGTTTATTCATTTCATGAATTCCTGATTCATAATACTTTTGTTTGGAGTGTATTTATAAAACTGAATCTAAAATTTGTAGTTCATTCTTTTTGTTTTGTTTTTTTATTTTCTTTAAGGTCCGATCACTCCACAGGGAACTGGGTTTTTGGCAGTACAATCTGTCAGTGGCATAATGGTAAGCATCTTGTATGTTTTCTTTTACGGATTGTGTTTGAAAAATACAGGCTATTATGCACGTGAAATTTTAAATTGAATATAACTCATTTTTCAGTGTGAAATGCATAGTAAATTTCTCTTTGCTTTTAATTTTCCTACATTGTCTTAAAGTAGGGTTTGGGAGTGGAGGAGTAGACAAAGAATTGTAATGGTACTGATGACATTTTATATTTTTATGCACATTTTGGACTTGATTTGAAGCAGTGTTTACCATGTGCCAAGCCCTGTCTATACTAGGTTCTGGGAATATATCTGTATACCAGTTTCACATAAGACTTCTCTCTAATAACACTGGTTTAGCAAAGTATGTTCACACATTCTTTATTTGGTCAATTAGAGTGGGTTTTATTAGCCCCATTTGACAAAGAAGAAAACAGTAACCTCCCTGTGGTTTCAAAATTTAATTTTTTTTCTTTTTATTGTGCTTTAGATGAAGGTTTACAGAATAAATTAGTTTCTCATTGTACAATTGATACACATATTGTTTTTGTGACATTGGTTGCCGACCCTACAACATGTCAACACTCTCCACTTCTTGACTTTGGGTTGCACATTTCCATTCGTCCAGCTTTCCTGTCCCGTCCTGCCGCCTTCTCCTTGCCCCTGGGCTGGTGTGCCCATTTAGTCTTGTATACATGGTTGAGCTCTGAGTAATATTGTTTGTTTTATGGGCCTGTCTGGTCTTTGGCTGAAGGGTGAACCTCAGGAGTGACCTCAATACTAAGTTAAAAAGTGTGTACAGGGGTCATACTCTTGGGGTTTCTCTAGTCTCTGTTAGACCAGTAAGTCTGGTCCTTTTTTGTGAGTTTGAATTTTGTTCTACATATTTCAGCAGCTTGGTTCCAGACCCTTTATTATGATCCCTGTAAGAGCAGTCAGTTGTGGTAGTTGTGCTGGACTCAGTCTGGTGGAGGCTGTGGTAATTGTGGACCGTTAGTCCTTTGGACTAATCTTGCCCTTGTGCCTTTGGTTTCCTTCCTTCTCCCTTGCTCCAGACAGGGTGGGACCAGTGGAGGATCTTAGATGGCCGCTCACAAGCTTTTAAGACCCCAGACACTACTCACCAAAGTAGGATGTAGAACGTTTTCTTTATGAACTTTGTTATGCCAGTTCAGCTAGATGTCCCTGGAGACCATGGTCCTCAGCCCTCAGCCCAGTAATTTGGTCCCTCAGGGAGTTTGGATGTATCTGTGGAGCTTCTGTGACCTTGACTTGGACAAGTAGTGGTGGTTTCCCCAGTACTGTGTACTGTCTTACCCTTCACCAAAGTTACCACTTATCTATTGTCTAGTTAGTGTTTTCCCCACACCACCCCTCCCCTCCCTCGTAACCCTAACCTAACCCTAACCACTTGGTCGGGTGTAGTTTTTTTTTTTTTTTTTAATGTGGTGCTGAATTCTGTTCGCTAGAATTTTTTTGATAATTTTTGCAGCTGTATTCCTGGAGCCCTGGTGGCATAATGGTTAAGAGTGCTACTGCAAACCAAAAGGTCAGCAGTTCAAATCCACCAGCTGCTCCCTGGAAAACCTGTGGGGCAGTTCTGCTCTGTCCAATAGGGTCGCTGTGAATTGGAAACGACTCAATGGCGCCTAACAGCAACAACATTTTCGGGAGAGATTTTGGTCTATAGTTTTTACTTTGTGATGTCTTTGCCTGGTTTTGGTGTCAGAGTTATGCTGGCTTTGTAGAATGCATTTGGAAGTATCCCTTCCTTTTCTGTGTTCTGAAATAGGTTTAGTAGTAGTGGTGTGAGCTCTTCTCTGAATGTTTGATAGAATTCTCCAGTGAAGCCACCTGGGCCTAAATTTTTTTTTTTGCTGGGAGGTTTTTTTTAATTACATTTTCAATCTCTTCTTTTGTTATGGGTCTATTCAGATTTTCTGCCTCAATTTGTGTTAGTTTAGGTAAGTAGTATGTTTCTAGAAATTTGTCCATTTCCTCTGTGTTCAAATTTGCTGGAGTATAGTTTTTCATAGTACTCTTATGATCCTTTTCATTTCAGTTGAGTTTGTTATGTCTCCCATTTCATTTCTCATTTGGGTTATTTGCTTCCTCTCTTTTTTTTTTTTTTTTTGTCAGTTTGGTTTGTCGATTTTGTTGATCCTTTCAAAGAACTAACTTTTGCTTTTGTTGATTCTATTGTTTTTCTATTCTCTTTCATTTATTTCTGCTCTGATCCTTATTATTTCCTTTCTTCTGGTGGCTGTGGGCTTTTTTTACTGTTCTCTTTCTGTTGTTTGAGTTGTATAGCTAACACTTTTTATCCCTTCTTTTTTGATATGTGCTATTGCTATAAATTGACCTCTGAGCACTGCCTTTGTTGTGTCCCAAAGGTTTTGGTATGATGTGTGTTCATTCTTGTTTGATTCTAGGAATTTTTTGATTCCGTCTTTGATTTCTTCTGTTACCCAGTGGTTTTTAAGCAAGATGTTATTCGGTTTCCATGTGTTTGGTTTTTTTTTTCCTTGCTCTTGCTGTTACTAATGTCTACTTTTATGGTGTTGTGATCAGAGAGGATGCTTTGTATTATCTCAGTGTTTTAGATTTTGTTGAGGGTTGCTTTGTGGCCTAAGATGTGGTCTATTCTAGAGAACATTCTCTGTGCATTGTAAGAGTGTATATTTTGCTTCTGTTGGGTGGAGTGTTCTATATATGTCTATGGGGTCAAGTTGGTTGATTGTGACCTTTAGATCTTCTGTATCTTTGTTGAGTTTCTTTCTAGCTGTTCTGTCTTTTACTTAGAGTGGTATATTGAAGTCTCCTGTTATTGTGGAACTGTCCATCTCTCTTTTCAGTGCTGTTAGTTTGTTTTATGTATTTTGGACCCTGTCATTGGGTGTGTAGATATTTATTATGGTTATGTCCTCATGGCGGATTGTCCCTCTAATCATTATATAATGTAATTTCTTATTTTTATGGTAGATTTTATTTTAAAGTCTATTTTATCTGAGATTAGTATTGCTACTCCTGCTCTTTTTTGGTTACTGTTGGCTTGATACATTTTTTTCATCCTTTTGATTTTTTTTTTTTTTTTTTTTTGTCTTTCTGAGGTATATCTCTTGTATACAGCATATTGTTGGTTCCTGTTTTTTATCCATTCTGTCACTCTGTCTCTTTATGGGTGCATTTAAGCCGTTTATGTTCAGTGTAATTATCGATAGGTGTATTTATTGCTGTCGTTTTGTAGTTTTTTTTTGTGTTGCTGACGTTTTCTTTGTTCCTCTTACTCTCTTGTGCTGAATGCCTTTTGTTTGTGGATTTTCTTTTAGTTTCTTGTTTTTGTAGATTTTGTGTTTACTGAGACTTTGTTTGTCTTCTTTATTTTGATGAATAGGTTTGTTAACTTTCTTTGTGGTTACCTTGAAATTTATCCCTATCTTTTTAAGTTTAAACCAGTGTTTTATTACTTGATACCACCTTGACTTCCTTTCCATTTGAAAGTTCTATACCTATACCATTTATTCCCTTTTTCATGGTTCTTACATAATTGTCATTTGCAGATTGACGTCTCTCATCCCCTGTTGTGAATCTTTTAGTTTTGTTTTATCCTTGAGAGTTCATTACGTAGATTGGTATCTGGCTGATGTTGTCCTGTGTCCTAGATTCAGGTTATTGTGTGAGGTTACCAAAGGATTCCCTTTAATAAAATTCTTGTAAGTTTGGTTTGGTTTTTACATATTTCCTTAATTTTTGTTTATCTAAAAATGTCCTAATTTCGCCATCATATTTGACTGAGAGTTTTGCAGGATATATTCTTGGTTGGCAGTTTTTTTCTTTCAAGGTTTTATATATGTCATACCATTGTCTTCTTGCCTGCATGGTTTCTGAGTCTTATTATTTCCCGTTTGTACGTGACTTTTCATTTTTCTCAAGCTACTCTCAGGATTCTTTCTTTGTCTTTGGTTTTGTCAGGTGTGATTATGATATGTCTTGGTGATTTTCTTTTGGAGTCTATCCTTCTTAGATGGTCAGCTTTTCATCTTTCATGATACTAGGGAAGTCTTCTGTCAGCAAATCTTCAGTGATCCTCTCTGTGTCTTCCATTTTCTACCCCCGTTGGAACTCTGATCGTGTGCAAGTTTTTCTCTTGATTGTATCCCCACATCGTTCTCAGGTTTTCTTCATTTTTACTCATTTGTTTGTCTGATTTTTTTCCCCAAAGTGTTATCCAAGAATTTGTCTTCAATTTTGCTAATCCTGTCTTCCATTGTTTCAGATGTGCTCCTAAAACCTCCTATTGCACTCTCCATTTCTGAAATCTTGTTTTCTTTTGGATTTCCAATTGCTGTTTTTGTATGATTTCTCGTTGTTTATTTATTTTGACATTTTGTTTCTGTCTTATTTTCCTAAATTCTTCCATTGCTTGGTGTTTTCCCTGACTTTGTATATTCCATGATTTTGTCTGTTTTTTCCATGTTTTTGTCAGTGTTTCCCTTCACCTCTTTCCTAATCTCTTGGAGAGCCCTGAATATTAGACTTTGAATTCCCTATCAGGTAATTCCAGTGCCTTTTCTTCTACTGGAAGATTATCTGCTGTTTTATTTTGTTTGCTTACTGGAGCCATCCTGTCCTGTTTTTATGTTTTGATATTGTCTGTTGTGTCTTGGACATTCAGGAATTATTTTCTTCTTGATTGTAGATTTGTTTTGTCATGCTTTTTTGTTTTATTTGGTTATGTCTAGGCAGGCGGACATGGCATGTTTTGTTTGTTCATCTGGGCACAATAATTCTCCCCACCTTGTCCAGGTGAGCAGAGAAGATTTCTCATCTGTGGTGCAGCAGGGCAGGTCCAGTGGAGAGAGGGGCTGGGATGAGTCATTTGCAGCTCAGTCTGGGACCAGCGGGGCCAAGGGGCAGTGCACGGCAGACTCTGGGGGTCCGCACCAGTGCTGCTCAAGGGTGTGATGCTTGGAGCGCAGTGCAGATGTGCAGGAGGGAACAGAGAGGATGTGATGTGTA